GTCTCTCTGTCTGTCTGTCTCTGGTCAAATTAAAATAAATGAATGAATAAATACAAATAAATAAATAATTTTTAAAAGGAGTAACAGTCGAGCCTGAATATGGTTCTGAAATCATGACTTGTAAGTTCAACAATACCAAAATAGTATATTAAAAAGGCAAATAGAGTCACCAATATTTAGATGAATGTGTGTGTTTTCAAACTAAAGTTAGAAGAGAAAAAAAATGTGTAGAAATGGCAATGTCGAGAAGCCAAGCATCATGGTAAGGGTGAGACAGGGAAGAAAAGACTAGTGATTGCAAACTCCTTCTTAGTTCTCTCAATGTTTTGGCCACTGGCTTGCAGCATATTCCAGGTGGAGACCTCTTCTGTGAACTTGTAAACACAATGATTAGAAAAAGGAAAGGGAAGAGTTTTACCCAATTTTTGACAAGAATATGACATCAATTTCAGTGTTTTAGGAAAGCTTGGGCCTTTTTTTTTTCTTTTATTAGTTTTTTTGCCATAGGATGCAAGCACTCTCTGGAGAGAAACAGAGGGAGAGAAAGTGAGAAATCAACCCCAGGGCAATGGCTATACCCCAGTCACTTCTCCTCCATTTTCTGCTAAGGATTTTTGGCATGCATGCACACACACACACCCGGTATGGTTTTCAAGCTGCCAGGTCTGGGGCCTGAACCATGGTTGGCCATGTGAGAGTCCAGTTCCTTATCCCCACACCACCTGCTGGCCCCAGCCTAGACAAAACAAAACAAAACAAAATAAAACAACTTCAATGTGGGGTTTTCACCTCCTCATTAAAATGCTTTTCCTGGGACCAGCAGTTAGCGTAATGGCTATGTCTCTGGACTCCCACGTAGTCAACCGCGGTTTGAGTCCCAGACCCAGTGGCTTAAACTCATGCCGGGCGTGTGTGCGTGCACGCCCAAGATCCCGAGAGGAGAATGGAGGAGAAGGGATTGTGGCGTGGCCATCCCCCCGGGGGGTGATTTCTCGCTTTCTGTCTCTCTGTCTCTCTCTGTCTGTCTGGCGAGCACATGCACCCTATAGCGAAAATCTCTCTCTCTCTCAAAAAAAAAAAAGCTTTTCCTAATCATATAGGTAATCAGTTGAATGTTTATTTCTTTGAACTCCCACATCCAGAGAATATACATGTTACGGTGATATCAGCTGCTAATCTGTGGGCCCAATTTATGCCAATATGTGGGGCATTTGACTATCCTACTGACTACATCTTGTATTTTTCTGATGACTGCATAACATAAAAGCTAATTGCCTTGTTCCCTATATAGTGTTTGGCATCAAGAAAATACAGCAAAAATGTAATAATGGAAGAGCTAATAGCTAAATTCCTTCCAGAAGAACTCAAGGAACGAAGGAGGCTTTATGAAGAGGAAATGGAAGAACTTTCTAAGTATGTATATGCGTGTTTCTATTTTCAGTTTCACTTATACCAGCTCATGAGAGTTGAATGTACACATTTCTTCCTGGCTCCTCATTCAGAGATAGTATACTGGTGGCTTGAAATCGACCATGGTGAGAGTATTTGCACGATGGAAATTGGCAAGTGTCACAAACCAGGGTTCTCCCCCATTCCTTGGGAGAGCCAGTTGTTGACCATTTACCAACAAAACCACTGAAACCAAACCACTGGCCAAGACTCAGTTGGCACTAGTAACAAGGTGTCACTGGCAGGAGTAAATGGGAGTAACTTAAGCAGGGGAACTTACGAAGTATCTGCCAGAAGGCTGACTTCAAATACATAAGGAAGTGCTATGAGGTTAAATATTGAGGTGTTGGGCCAGCTCCATGGCCTGGTGGTTAAGGTAGCCAGATCCCACATGATCAACCATGTTGTTTGAGTCTCAGACCAAGTGGTTTGAGAAACAAGCCAGGCGTGTGTGCATGCGTGCACAAAATCCTGAAAGGAAAGAGAGATGGAGAAGGGATTTGGGTATGACTATTCCTCACAGGGAGTGCTTTATCCCTCCCTTCAAACCTGTCTGTGTGCATGTCTAGGGAGTGCATGTATACTGTAG